GAGTGCGTTTGTGTGTATGGGTGCGTGGCTATCTGCATGTGTATGTGCGTGTGTGTGTTTTGCGTGAGTGCGTTTGTGTGTATGGGTGCGTGGCTATCTGCATGTGTATGTGCGTGTGTGTGTTTTGCGTGAGTGCGTTTGTGTGTATGGGTGCGTGGCTATCTGCATGTGTATGTGCGTGTGTGTGTTTTGCGTGAGTGCGTTTGTGTGTGTGGGTGCGTGGGTGTCTGTATATATGTATGATCGTGTGCGTGTGTATGTAAGGGTGCGTGGGTGTCTGCATATCTATGTCCGTGTGCGTGTGTGTGTGCGTGTGCGTGTGTGTGTGTGCTCAAGCGCGCGTGTGTCTGCGTGTGTGTATGTACGCGTGCGTGTCTGCGTGGTTTCCCTGACTGCACGATCTATTCTGGGATCAAAGCGACCCTGTGTAGGCGCGGCGGGAGGAGGGGTGAAATAATTATTATTATTTGTCAAGCCAACGCTTTTAACACTTGGTCGTGCGTGATTGATCGCAGCACGCTGAATCTGAGAGCGCGCTCTCTCATGACACGTTCTAATGCAGCGCTCTAATAACGACGAGAAATTCATATCAAATTTTATCGCAGATTGCAACGCACATCAATTCGCCTTTGTGTGCAGATGAGAAGGTCGTGTTATGAGAGTGCACGGTGATCAAAGGCCGACGTGTGTTCACGAAAGAATGACGAATGTTTGCGTCGGTTGTATGTTAACCCACACCTGTAAGCGTAGTGAAGCAGTTAAAGCTGCACACGAGTTGTGCTTCATTCAACGTACTCGGGGGTGGCGCCGATATTGTATTTCAATCACTCAATATGGTGGCCCAAATAGCAGTTATTATCTTCACCATGCATAGGCTAGGGCCATGATGACTATCACTCTATCAACTCCCAAGTTTTTTTCTCCATACTCAAGTGTGCGCACTCTGTTGTTCGCACAGGGGTGATGTTACTGATGTAGCACTAGGATATGTTTCTAGACCAGGGATTCTTAACCTGTGGTCATGGACCGCTTTAGAGTTCGTGGATGGGCTTCAGGGGGTCCGTGAACCAGGCACGGCATTTTTCTGGGGAGGAGTCCGTAGCTTTCACAACATTCTCAAAGGGGTCCATGACTAAAAAAAAGTTTTTAAAAAACTTTTAAGAACCACTATTCTAGACTAAAGCTTTTCGGCATGGTTTATGCTGAAGTGAAAAGTTTAGAGCAACAGCCATCACTCACAAGTCACAGCGACGAAATATTTCTAGTGTGGTCTTTACCTCCATGCATGGTAACAAAACCTCTGTTCACGTGCACTAATTCGTAGACATGTATTATGTCATGTAAGCATTTTTAGTCCTAGAGAAGGTTTTTATTTATTGTGCATTGTTTATATTGATATTTTAGGAGCTTTGATCTAGCATCTGGAAACGCCATCTTGAAGAACTAATAATGTTTGCGTAACACATCAATACATACATAATTCTTTTAATGAAATTGTTTTAGCCACACTCTGCGTGGTCTCACTATCTTGTTAAACACAAGCACAGAGTGTAAATAACGTATATTTAACTGACAGCGTTAATACCATGTGCTGTAGGGTTGTTTGGTTTACATTTTTCTTTCTTCATCTTTGTTTGAACCTGGAAAGAACAAGCCCAATACAAGGAAAGTCTACACTTTGAAAGAAGTCTAAATATACAACTATAATGGCTGAGTTTTTTCACGCGTTTAGATAAACGTACATTTATTTACAGTTTTTACTTAGTACTTGGAGGGACATTCCAGTACGCACTCACGCATGCGCAGACACACAGACATGCACACACGCACGCACGCACGCACGCACGCACGCACACACACGCGCGCGCGCTCACGCACAAGCACGCACGCATGTATGAATGAATCCAGGCACAAACACACAACCACTAACAGTGACACAGTGTTGCTGCGTTTCTGACATCTCACAGTCTCATCATCAATTCTGTGTATCTGTGGGTGAAGGTCTGATAACAGCGCAGTCGCTTACCATCGTGACTCTCTCTCTCTGACGTAGCGCTAGAACTATAGCCCTTCACTCCGCCACAGGGCTATTATGCCTATATATATAGCACACAAACTATGTAGATGGTGTTGTTCATGATGCACGTGTTAGGTAGGCCATGGGCCGATGTGGAAAAATCAGTCTTAAAAATGACTCGTTTGACACCTCATCAAGCCAAGTTTAAATCTGGGTATAAGACATTAAATACATTATCCTGATAATAAATCACCAATGTTCACCCAAAAATTGTTGCACATTAGTTTGCAATAGGCTTTTGAAAGGTGGAATTTTAACCCCGTGTTATTGCGCCGCAGGTTTCCCGGCTGGTGATTCTGCACGAGGAAGCGGAAGATGGCAACGCGATGCCAGACCTCGAGCGGCCAGTCTTCGCCGTCAGCCGCGCAGTCGACAATCTGTGCAAGGTGCGCGCAAATCGATATTTTAAGCTCGGTTAACCGCCGATAGAGTCTAGGTTTCGTGTAAAGAAATATGAAGATTTTTCGTCTCAGAGTTTTTCGTCTAACATGTATGGTCTATGATTTAGATCTAAGGTATCGTCTTCAGTTATAGCTCATTAGCTGAGTCAGCCGTCGCATGGATCCTTGATCACAGGGACGTGTGGGGAAAAAATTAATTAAAATTAAAGACAACAGGCATCGCCGTAAAATATTAACCCAAGCACAACGTTGTTGTACATCCATGGCAAGTGCGGCTGTGGCACATCCTCGGTAATCGGTCTCTGTTTCACGTCATCATTGCGTAGGTTGGCAAGGAGACCGTGTACAGCACAGACGACCCGATCCTCAAGCAGGACATGCCGCACTCGCTGCAGCGTGTCGAGGAGGCGTCACACCTGCTCGAGGACGCCTCGCGCATGCTGAAGTCCGACCCCTACTCGGGTCCTGCCCGCAAGAAGCTCATAGAGGGCGCTAGAGGTCAGTGTCTGTCTGTCTGTCTGTCTGTCTGTGTGTCTGGTTGACTGGCTGGCTGGGTGGCTGGCTGGCTAGCTGGCTGGGTGGGTGGGTGGCTGGCTGTCTATTTATCTGGCTGGATGTCTGGCTTGCTGGCTAGCACTGGCTGGCTGGCTGGCTGGCTATCTGATTGCCTGTCTGTCTGTCTGGCTGTCTGTCTGCATTAATGTACATTTGCGATGCCATCAGCTGACAGTCAGTCAGTGACGCCCATAGCTCCTGGGTGGAGCATAGGCCACTGATGAATCCTCACCATCTGACTCGGTGTTGGGCGAGTTGCCCCATATGTGTCCCTCGGCTTTGATTTCGTCTTCGACCGACCTCTTTCATGTGGTTTTTGGACGGCCCCTTCCCCGTTGACCTTGTGGGTTCCATGTCAGTGCTTGTCTGGCGATGGAGTCTCTAGACTTGCATAAGGTGTGGCCAATCCACCTCCACTTTCTTTGCTTGATGACACATTAGCTGTACAGACTACAAAACATCTAAATGTTAATCTTGTAAAACAGTGTGTTTTGTTGCGGTGCATTTGAGTCGGATTTCAAAACATTTCAATGGTTTTTTTGGTGCAGAATGCTCTTATGATGCCAATGATGCCAATGCCAAATGATTTTATATATATGCATAATCAGTTCAATATTTGTATGCGACTGAAATAGTTTTTTAAACAAATGCCTGCATATAATGTTTTAATTGAAATTTTTTGCAAAATACTAATCATAAATTATTATACTATCAAAGTCTGTTTTGTTCTGTGTGAAACTAATTGCTTTCTTAATCCCGTACTCTAGGAATTCTTCAAGGAACGTCGTCGCTGCTGCTGTCCTTTGATGAGTCGGAAGTGAGAAAAATCATCAGGGAATGTAAGAAGGTGCTGGAGTACTTGGCCATAGCTGAGGTCGTGGAAACTATGGAAGACCTCGTGCAATTTGTAAAGGTGGGTTTGTTTCCAAATGGTTATGCATGTGTATATGTGTATTATTGGTATTATCACATTCAAATCTTTCCCCGAACAATTCGTGAAGGTAGGTTTCTCTGTGTATGGCTATAAGTGCATTGATCTGTATGATAGCATTCTAATATTTCCCCCGTGCAATTTATAATGTTAGATTTGTCTAAACATGGTTCTATATGCGTAGATGTGTGTTACGACATTCTAATAATGTTGTTGTCAAGGCGTTTCCTTGTGCTTCCCTTCTAGCATGTGTCAGTAACTTTTATCATGCCTTCTTGTAAATTACATTGGACTCTACACCCCTATGAACATCGCAATATTGTTTCGATAACTGATAAATACAATCAAATATTGTAATTTTAATTAAGTCTAGTATAATAATATAGAGACTTTATATATATAATAAAACACTAGTCTTTGATGAGGTTGGTTCGGTTTCGGTACGTGCGATCGATCCACGGGTGTGTCTCTTGTCTGCTGCAGGACATGAGCCCTGGCTTGACGAACGTGTCCAAGATGGTGGACGCGCGCGAGAAGGAGCTGACTCACCAGGTTCACCGCGAGATCCTCGTGCGTTGCCTTGACAACGTGAAGAACCTCACGCCCGTGCTCATCTCCAGCATGAAGATTTTCATACAGATCATGTCGCAGGGTGAGTAGGGCCGCGGCTGTCCCCCCTCACTCCTCTCTTCTTCCTCTCATACCCCTCCTGCTTTCCCACACCCTCCTCCTCCTCCCCTATACCCTCCTGCTGCTCTCTCACACCCTCCTCCTCCTCCCCTATACCCTCCTGCTGCTCTCCCACACCCTCCTCCTCCTCCCCTATACCCTCCTGCTGCTCTCTCACACCCTCCTCCTCCTCCCCTATACCCTCCTGCTGC